TACCTACTTGATACATTGAAGTCTTTCCTTTGGGTCTCATATTCTTTGGGTTTCAACCAGTTTGGGTTGTTCATCTGTTATCCCTCATTCTTGCTATAGAACTAGCTCATTTCCTTCTCAAACCATGAATCTCCTACATGGTACCTTTTATTTTTATAAATGATTTTTTACAAACTTAATGCTTGCTTTCTAATTACTTACATTTCATAGCCCTTTATAAAAATAACACCCTTTCAGTCACCATATCCATTAGAATCATTTGTCCATTCTCTTTCGTTTTTCTTTCGTGTTCATTTTGTTCTACTTGTAATTTTTCCTTCAGTATATTGCATAGAGGTCTGCCCATATTTCTTTATATTCCTCATACTTGTTAGATTTAATTTCACTGCAGTATTCCATTACCTCAATGTACTAATTTAATTAAGCATTTTGTTAATTACCAATTTAGTCATATTGTTAGATATTTAGGTAACTTCCAGGTTATTGTTTTGCAGCTACAAAGTATGTTGTTATGCAAATCTCTTAACAGATAACTTGTTTTCGTTTTTTTTTATAACACTTTCAGTGAACTGCCTAACAGTGAAATTATTGGGTCAAAAAGTATGATTATCTTTTAAACTTTTACTAGGTGCTGTGACTGTTCTCCAAAAAAAAATTATTATACCAGAAACTGAGTGTACCTAATTCTCCATAACCCTGTCAATAACGAGCTTCATTGCTTTTAATTATTTTTGCTAGTTTGATAAATATAAGATGACACCTTATAGGTGTTTAAATTTACACATCAATGACCATAGGTTAAGTATTTTGAGTGACTATTAACAATTTGTGTTTCTTCTTTTGAAAACTATCTATATCATTAGGTCATATATACTTCAAAATTTTCCTTTCATAAATTTTAATGGTGCCCTATATATTCTAGATGTCAAGTTTTTTATCTAATATATGTCATAAATATTTCCCCAATTTTTTCTTTTTATTATGTTTTTTGTATAGAAATATTTCACTTCACGTTATCATACACATTCATCTTGTTTTTAATAATTACTTCTCTTGCTGAATACAAAAAGAATCATCTCTCCTCCACAAATGAAGGAATGACATGATTCTACTTCATTTCATCTTTTTATGTTTAAGTCTATGATTTTTTTAATAGCCTCATAAGCATGTTACCTTTAGGAATATGCCTACCACCTACCAACCTATCGCCATACATGTATCTTTCTTGCCTATTGGATCAGGTCATGTTTAATTTTTATTAACCTAGTCTTGAGTACAATCAGCATAATTTTGTCTTTTCTTAATGAATTATTCATCATTTATGATTAATTTCTGCAATATACTTAGATGCTGATGGGTTTGAACACTGGACAGATTAAGTACTGACACCAGGATATATCCCAAAACTTGTTTTCGTTAAACAAATGCCTCTTATCTACTTCAATCTTTCTTATTTCCATCTTTTTCGCAAAGCAGAGTACAGAATGTGCAGCTGCATGACCTGGGCAGTATAACATGGCCTTTGTTCAAAATTAATTATCGATTCCAAGTCCGAAGTTCAGCCTTCTCCTAAGTCATCTTCTTGCTGTTGATGACAACATTTTTTTCACTATCTCTTTGAGTTCCCATTGACTTTAGCAGCATTCAAAACATCCTCTTAATGCAACCCCAATGACTGCTTCATCCTCCTGCTCAGCTCCAAACTTCTCCTTTGTTCCTTGGCTTTAGCTGCACAAGGTAATATGATAGTGTGACCTTTTAGAATAATGTTGATGAAAACCATTTAGGCCAGATTATGGTTTTTTTCCACTACCACTTTCTTCTGCTATTTGTTTGCTTCCCAGTTCCCCACAATTCCAGACACTTGGAAGTGGCAGTGTGCATGCCAGACAATGGACCTTTTTGTTCTATTTACTTCACTGATGGAAGGAACTGGTTTGCTTGATTCCATTAAATTCAACAAAATTTATTAGGCACCTACTGTGTGCAAGACATTGTGTGCTAGTGCAGGGCATACAAGGACCAAATCCAAACAATTCCTGCTCTCAGAGAGATAACATTCTACCAGGGGAAGAACATGTACACAGACAAATAAGTACAAAGAATTTAAGGAGGGAAAGAAAGCTGACAAGTGAGGGGGTGGGGAGGTTCTGATTAGGAAAGGCTTCATGTAGGAGGTATCCCGAATTGTACTTTGAAAGAAACCAGGGTGGGGCAGCTAGGTGGCGCAGTGGATAGAGCACCGGCCCTGGATTCAGGAGGACCTGAGTTCAAATCCGGCATCAGACACATAACACTTACTAGCTGTGTGACCCTGGGCAAGTCACTTAACCCCATTGCCTAGCCAAAACAAAACAAAAAAAAAACGAAAGAAACCAGGGATTCTATGAGAATTCCAAATGCCAGGGACCACTTGGGCAAAGGCATCAAAATAAGAGATGAACAGCCAGCATGCCAGTTTGAACAGAATGAAGAATGTGGGAAGGGGGGAATATGAAATAAGAATAGATAATTAGGTGACAGCTAGACTATAGAGAGTTTTAAATACCAGGCTGAGGATTTTTATGGAAGTAACATAGAAGTTTATAGAAGTTCTAGAAGCAATAGGGAACTAATGAAGATTTTTTTGAGAAAAGGAGTTACAACTGCAGATCACTGTTTTAGACCACTGTGTGAAGGATGGATTAGAAAGGGGACCAAACGGGAAGTAGAGAAGCTAATTAGGAGGTTATTATAGTAGTCAATGGTAAGCTAGGTGGTCCAGTGGATACAGTGTCAGGCCTGGAGTCAGGAAGACTCATCTTCCTAAGTTCAAGTCTGGCCTGAAACACTTCTAAGCTGTATGACCCTGGACAAGTCACTTATCCCTGTTTGCCTCAGTTTCCTCATCCGTAAAATGAGCTGGAGAAGGAAATGGCAAACCACTCCAGTATCTTTGCCAAGAAAACCCCAAATGATGTCATGAAGAGTCAGATACAACTGTAAACAACTGAACAACAATAACCAAAGACTTTATAACAAATCTACAATGCCCAATGGAACCAACCACTCTCTTCTTTGAAAAATAATTTCACTTGACATTTAATAATCCCAATAAACAAAATAAAAACAAAAAAGAAGATTCTTGCCAAAAATATTATATAATTCGGCTAAGTCACGTATTTTTGAAAATATATATATTTTAACAACATAATAACTTAAACTTATTTATTCTGTGTTCCTTTTGGATATCTTTCCTATCTATGTAAATACAAAGCAAATAAAGAGTAGTGTTAGAAATTTTCAATTTTACTACACAGATTTATGTATAACCTATAGACCAAATGAAAAATGAAGTGAACATCCTTTAAACCTAAATGATTCTTCAGCCCACCCCCTTTACATTCCCAACCTGCTCCACCCCTCAGCCACACACATACACACACACACACACACACACACACACACACACACACATCTACACAATTGTTTTTTCTTTCAACTATGACTATTACACATTGAGGCAATGATAGACCATGCAACACCCAAAAGAAGTAAGAACTTAGAAGATGACTAGAAAGGAACAAGTCAGAAGAAAAGAGAAACTCTCTGGGATAATATCCAGTATATCCTTGCACCTCTGTCCTCCCTACAAGAGGAACCATTATTCACAACTGAAGTGTACTGTTAGATGTCCAGCTCCCAGAAGCCATCAGGCTACTAACCACATGACTCTAACCAGCTGTCTGGCATGGCCCTAGCTGAACCAGTGACTACAACTAAAGGTTAGAAGAAAATCCTTCATGTATCAAAACATATCAAAAGTACACAGCTGGTATGAAGAGTCAGAGTCATTCATCTACTCTGGTCTAAATTTAATGACAAAACACTAAACTGGAAGAACATGGAGAATTCCAAGATATAAGGATGCTCCCTCCAAATCCTCATTCAAGCAATTTGTGGAGTCTATTCCTGATTTAAGAACAAGAGCTGGTTCTACTTACAATGCATAAAAGCTACATTATTCAGGAATGAAAACCCTGTAGGTACCACACAAATTGTAATTGCTTCCATTCTCTTCTCTTAGCTTTAAACTGCCATAATATGATCTCTAAAACCAGGGATAAACAGGTTCATAGTTTAATAGGTGGTCCAAGGCTACATCTGCACATCACTGTTTCTAAAAGTATGATAAGTTTTACCCTAACTGCCTGCTTGGTAGACAAACATACAACAGTGAATGAATGGTCCCACTCACATACATGGTAGCCTGGGTGATTCATGCTGCTTAAATCACTGAATATGTAAATGGTCAGGCTTTTTATAAGCCATGAATGAATTTATCTGGTTGAAAACTCCCTCACAGACACTCCCTATCATAGTATTCACTTTGTACTTGAGCATCTCTATTCACTACAATTCACAAGTTAGGATCCACAACTATCTTTGCTGCTATTGATCTCACATAGAAGGATGAACTTCTTCTTTGAAAGCAAATAGGTCACTTAGAAAAAAACTCAGAAATATCATGGGTCTTAGTATCCCATAAAGGACACATTTTGTACCCAGACAGAAATGTACAATGCCACTCTTTGCTTACTATGGCTGTGACTTGAAGTAGAAGCCCATTCCCTCCCTTACAGCTGGGGTCATAGGTCCTTGGATCCATGGGTCAATTCCACCAGTGAAGCATATGGCAATATAAGGAAGTATCTGTCTTATTCTGCTTCCAAAAAGCAGCTTCAGTAACTGTGCTGTGTCTTTTAACCTAAGTTACATTAGCTAAGCAGATAGAGAAAGATGGCATAGCCAAAGTAGACCTTTGATATCCTCTCTGTAAGTCTATTACAACAAAAGACAAAAGTTACAATAAGCTTAGTGAAGACGGGCACATAGAAGTGACAAAAAATAATTGTTTTATTTCACTCTCGGAAATGCTGCTTTCCAACAGTACATTTCAACAGCCACTGTGGAGACAAATTCCCCTTCCTTTGCAAAAGAACAAGAAGTTTGCTGCTTACCAATGCAGGCGTGGACTCTCACTGACAGCTGCGTCCTTAAGATTATACTATGCTTCTTCCCCCTCCTAAAGAAAGCGAAAAGACACTATGAGCATCAGAGAAAAACTGAGAGAGTTTGTTCCTGGAAATGTACAGGAACTCACAAACATAAAACTAGTTCTTTCATTAAATAACAATAGCAAACATTTATATAGTGCTTACTATGTGCCAGGCACTGTGCTAAGCTCTTCACAATTATTATCTCATTTCATCCTCACAAAAACCCTGGGAGGTAGGTGCTATTATTATACTCATTTTACAGATGAGGAAACTGAGGTAAACAGAAGTTGGTTTGCCCAGGGTCACACAGCTAGTAAGTGTTTGAACTCCCGGACTAGCACTTTAAACACTGTGCCACCTAGCTGCATTAAGAACACTGCATCTCACAGGAGCTCAGATTCAGTGCATGCCTTAAAAATAATAATATGTCTGATAGCCATACAACAATTACAGGTAGTAAGTGGTTGCAATGATCTTTTAACTGTTTTTTCCTTTAAAATTACTAAGCCCTGAGAATTCAATCTAATGTTCTTCCCCAATTTCTTCTTTTTAAAGAATTCAAGATACTTGAAAGATGAAATGTATTGAGATGCTAAATTTAACCCCAAAAACTGTATTAAAATAATATTTCATGAGTGGTAGATGGAACAAAATAGTTAACCTAGACTGGCATTTATATCTGATTGCCAAACCCTAAAAAATTAATTAATCTTCAAGGCTTGCAAGCACTCATAGGTTTACCATTTGAGGAAATTTTAAAATTCTGTTTCCAAAATGTAAAATCCCTGAACTGTTCCAAAACAAATCATATCTACAACTATTTTTGTATTTCTAGAAAATAAAATTTAAAAGAAGATACATGTCAGTGCAATTAGAAAATAATGGTTTTAATTCAATCTCTTCTGTAATCAATACAAGAAAATTCAGCTTGCACAAAGAAAGACTTTGAGGCTCAAACTAGGAAGAACCAAGTGTAGGGTTCCACTTTGTACCACTGGTTACTTCTTGCTTCATTTCTTATTGAGAATAAACAAAGTCTAAGAGCCTCTTCTCATGCTGAGCTTTCAGCCACTCCTTCCCAGGGTGTCTCTTGTCACTTTGTTCTTGAAAAGCACAGAGTTCTTATTGACTTCGTGGAGTCCAGAGCAAGCCACAAAACAGAAGAGAGTAAGGTGATGAAACACATGTCCTGGATAACAGAATATACCCAAAAAAAAGTCCAGGCTTTGGGTCTTAATTTTTAGTAGAAATAGCACAATTTCATAAAATGAAGTTTACTACTCCTTTTCTAAAAGAACTTCTAGAAAAGGAAGCAAGGCACTATGAAACCACCTAGAAAACAAACTTTTTGTTCTGTGACACACAGCATATACAAATTTACCTTTCAAGTTTAAGAGTATCTACTTAACTGTAATTATCTTAATAGATGAGCCCTCCTCACACTCACTCCACTGGCTACTCTGGCCATACCACAGCACCAGCCCAAAGATATCAAGGAATCTTCCTATCATTCCCACTTGCACCAAACAAAGCCTGATATTATTTACTCTTAAAGTAAGTCAGAGTAAGTTGCCTCTCTACAGAGTTCACTTTTAATTTACGGGGGTGGCATGACATTTCTCTGAGACCAAATAAATATGCATGGAGCTGCCAGGCTTTCAAATGACTTTTTTTGTATAGGCATGTGATTTCATTGATATAGCCAGCAACAAGTAAGGAAATTCCCTATACCAATGCAGATTAGCAACTGTTGTTCTGCACCGAGAGCACTGGGGCACTGAGAGGTCACACGGCCAGTATATTTCAGAAGTGGGACTTGAACCCAAGACATCATAACTCCAGGTTGACTCTCCAACTATGACTCTTCAGGTGAATAACTGAAAATAATTTACTTTCTCTTTTTATAGAAAATAAAGTAACTTTCTTATTCCTTTAGATTCAACAGTTGGTTATTAAGTACCGTACACTATACACATAGCACTGTCCTAGGTGCTAGAAAGATAAAAATGAAAAATGACATAGACCTTGCCATCAAGGAGCTCACAATACCAGAAGATGAACCACATACATGGTCTGTAATCTACACTCTTTGGGGGTAATCACCAATGTATTGAGGCATTTACATTTTTTAAAGCACTTTTCTCACAAGATTCCTCTGAGGTAAGTCATTATCATTACTCTCCTTTTTACAGAAGTAGAATCAGGCTTAAGAAGGTTAAATTACTCACCTAGAGTGACAGAATTAATAAATAAATGGCTGAAGATAAAAGTCGAACCCAGGGTCTTTGACTCTACAACCAAAGCCAAACTAGTAGCTAAAATTCACACTAGAAGGATGTACAACAGCAGTATCTTCAGGCAAAATTAATCTAATGTAGAAAAGTTAGAGGAGACTCTCAGAAGCTAAGATTTCCCATCAGTATAACAGGGACAAATACTACTACCTACTTCACTGCACCTTGGAAATCTTTTATCACTATAAAAGCGTGAGTTATTATTACTCTTCAACCAGTCAACCAGTGAAGGAGACAAAGGGGGAACAGACAGATAGAAAGCAAGTGGATTATGGCATCAGGGAGACCAAAGAGGAAGGGAATTTCATGCCTAAATTATTCGAGGACTCTTCTAACTAGTCTCACTCTTATTTCCTCATTTCCTGTCCCAATCTATTCCCCTACCCTCTGACATCCATTCTACACACTAATGACAGATGAAACTTCCTAAAACTCTACTGTATATAGGTCTCCACACAGTTTCAATACATAATAAATTCCACTGTAAATTTATGCCATTTAATATTAACAACAATAATTAACTTCACTGCAGCTAGGGGAAATTTATCTTCATGTCTTATTAACTTCCCACTACATTCCCCAAAGAAAATTTTTCAAGACTTTTCCACTCACATTAAGCCAGAATTCTACTCCACCCCAGACCCCTATAGTTTCAGCTTATGATCTTCTCTCCTATTGTCCTAAAAAGATTGAGTGATTTCTTCAGTGATTTCTCTTAATTCCCCTTTTTCATATTTCAAAACCTCTTGATGTCACCCACTTCCTGTTTCAGGAGAAGTGTCCCTCTTCCCTACCATGACTAACCCCCTCCATCTTTATTCTTGATTCTATCTTTTCCCACCTCCTTCAAGGTCCAAAGCTATCATCCCTTCATATTCACACATCTTCAATCTTGTCTTCTACTGGCTATTCCTCTTCCTAAAAACATGCTTAGATTTCCTAAAAAATAACAAAAATCTTCCCTTGATTCAATAAACCCCCAAACTATGATCTTTTCGTCTCTATTACCTTTCAATTCCAAAGAAGTCTAATCTATACTCAATCCCTCAATGTCCTCAGCATACAATCATTCCTGTACCAGTCTGACCTTTATCCCAAAATTCTACGGAAACTACTCTCTGAAAGGTCATATCAAAGGGCAAATTTTCGTGTCCAAACTCATCTCCCCACTAAAACCTATTCCTTCTCCTAACTATTCTATTTCAATTAATGACATCATTCTTTCATCCACCTAGGATGCTACCATCACAATATCTTCTTTATCTTTGTATCTTCTTCAAGACCCAGCTTGAGGCCTGGAACATGGTAAATACCCAATAAATATCTTCTTTAGTGAGAGAATGAAAGAAGAAAGAGATGGTTATCAGTATCAGGAAAGATAAACATGACATTGCCCTTTGCTTCTTTCTCTGATTCTTTGTTTATCCTCCTCCATCTTGATTTGGCTAGTATGAAAAATGATCACTAAGATAGATATAATTTCCCATTCCTGCCACCAAAGAAAAAAATCATTTGACCCAGAACTAATTCCATATAGTCACTGTGTCTCTGGAGCCTGATATCTACATTTCAAGCCCTATTTGCATTAAAATATAAAAAGAAATCTCAAATATATCAGTAATAATCTGATAGACAAAAAACCCAATTGATTCCTATTTTTCCTCTACTTTTTTTATCAAACTGGAAAGAGTAGAACAATTATGGTTGAGATTAAATGGAAGTAAGGGCAGCTAGGTGGTGCAGTGGATAAAGCACCAGCCCTGGAGTCAAGAGGATTTGAATTCAAATCTGACCTCAGACACATGACACTTACTAGCTGTGTGACCCTGGGCAAGTCACTTAACCCTATTGCCTAGCCCCCCAAAAAAAAATTACATGCAAGCATAGGATTAGTAAGAGAGCATCTAGTTGTTTTAAGGGAGTTCAAGAAATCAAACAAATTATATCCCAGGATACTAAAAGAACTTACAGATGTGATCACAAATCTGCTGTCAATGAAATATGAGAAGTCATGAGAATGGCGGATGTGCTGTAGCGAGAATGAGTAATGATAGAGCAGACCTAGAAGTTAGGAAGACCCAGGTTCAAATCTTGCCTTGGATACTAGCTTGTTGGAATTTGGGTAACTTCTTAACTTTTCTATACTTCAATTTCCTCATCTGTAAAATGAGTGCCTTGTACTTGATGGCTTATTAGTTCACTTCAAGCTCTAAATCTCTGATCCTATGAATAAATGTCCTGATTAAAAAAAGAAAGAAAAAATGAGAATTCTTGAAACTGCAAAATGATTAGCATGATGTACAGTCCCAGCAAAATTTTAAAATAGATTGTTAAATAAATGGTTTGTAAGCACTTAGGTTCACTAAAAATAAATATCAGACTAACTTCATTTCCTTTGTTGATAGGTTTACTAGACTGATGAATTAAGGGAATGATCAAGATATATTATAACTAGGTATATAAATGTGCAGACAAGATGGAGAAATACCGGCTGTGTCCAGTTAGCTTGATTCACAGTTACATGACAGTAACCAAAGAGTATTTACTAATGGATGGAATCTAAAGGGAGAATTCTGATGGTTTGTCACAGGACTCTTTCCCTGCCTTGTTCTGTTCCCTGTCACAGGAGGTATCCAGGCAAAGGTTGCACAGGATACTGAAATAAGTGGTTTCTAGGGTCCTTTCCAAATCTTGGCTCTATGAATATTTCTTCCAGCTAATTATTATTGTCA